CCAGTACGAGCACCTCCGGGACCAGGGGGTCCAGGAACTCCAGGAGAAACACCTCCAGTAGCAGAGTCACCAGCTCCAGGGCCTCCAACGCCAGTGCCCCCCGCAGCAGGGCCCCCACCTCCAGCAGCGCGACCCTGACGGCGAACGTACCACTCACGCAGCTGCTGTGGGGAGAGCGGGACAGCGCCAGCTCCAGTGCCTCCAACCCCAGCGCCTCCCGCAGCAGGGCCCCCAGCTCCAGCAGCGCGACCCTGACGGATAGCGTACCACTCACGCAGCTGCTGTGGGGAGAGAGGGAGACGACGACGAGAGTGCAGCGGCGAGGCACCAGCGGAGCGACTACGGAGACGGCCGCTCCAGGGAGACTGCTCACCAGACCCCCCAGCGGCCCCAGGTGCAGCACCCCCAGACTCAGTTTCCCCAGGCTCAGCACCCCCAGGCTCCTCACGCTCTGGCTCAGTACCTCCAGTCTCCGCGCCCCCAGGCTCAGCATCCCCAGGCTCCGCACCCCCAGGCTCAGCACCCCCAGAAGCAGCACCCCGAGCAGGACCACCCCCAGCAGGACCTGAGACACCAGTGACCTCAACCGGCTCAGACACAAGAGGAGGGTCTACCTGAGACACACCTGAAGGAGCAGGACCGGGAGCGGGAGGGGGTCTGCCTGGGGAGGACCTGGAGCGAGGAAGAGCGGCAGGGGGGGGGAGAGGGGCAGTGCGGTAGGGGAAGAGACGGTAAAAGGGAACCGACTCGTCGAACGTGACGTCCTGAGAGGGGAAGACACGGCGCCAGGTGGGGTGGTAAAACTGCCAACCAGGCGCGTCAGGGACAAAGCCAAGAGCTTGTCCGCAGTGGTATCGCGGACAAAGGCACGAGAACCCCAGACCCGGAACACCGACGCATCGCCAACCTCCCCCGTCCACCGCAGTGTGGGCGAGGTCTCCAGCAAGGAGACACGGGGCCAGAGGTTGAGCTGATGCGCGGCGTAGCGGACCGCAAACGGCCACAGAAAATGGGGGGCAGCCGCATGGACCATGGAGGTACGAGCGACCTCCATGACCAAGCCAACGCGGCGCTCAGCAACCCCATTTTGCTGCGGAGAGGCCGGAAGCGTGAACGTCTGGCGAATGCCCTCCCCACGACAAAAGCTCTGCAGAAGGTCGGAGGAAAACTCTCCACCTCTGTCAGAGTGCAGACGCAGGACGGGAAACTCCGTCCCGAACCGCTCGCGGAGCTGGAGACGGGCAGCGCGGATCCAAGGGATCAAAACATCAGGGACCTCACCCTTGGTGCGCAAGGGGAAGACCGTGGTGTAACGCGAGTAGTCGTCAACAACCAGCAGGAAGTACTGCTCGCGGTCCTGTCCACGGACGCGGGCTGAGCCTCACACGTCCATGTGCAGGGTCTGCAAGGGAGCAGTCGTCGGGGGAAACGAGGAGGAGTGAGAAGCGGCGCGCTGCCGCCCCTCGACACAGGGAAGACAGGGAGGAGTAGGTGAGGGAGGGAGGGGAGGGAGAACCCTGGGAAGACCAGAGACAAGGACACGGCGGTGCATGCTACGAAGGCGCTACACCGAGGGGTGACCAAGACGGTGGTGCCAAAGGAGGGTCTGGTGCGACAAAGCGCGACACGAGCAGGGGTCCGCTAGCTGACCTGACGCAGACGCAGACGCAGCGACCTGAGGGGACACAGTAGTCAGTGTGTACAGACTCGAGCCAGGCGCACGGGTACACGTGGCCAGGTGCCGGCCCGTCCGGGAGCACGTACAGTGGGTCACGCGCTGACCTCCAGGAGTGAACTAGTCAACCCACTGGTCCTGGAGGTCAGCACCACTCACCAAGTTCGTAGAGAACGAGGGGAGGTGAAGACCTGACAGTGAGCCAGACGGGACCGCCGGGCACGGCAGGACCGTGGAGGAGTGCGCAAGGACTGGACCCCCAGAGGGGTCTGCCAGGGAGACTGCAACCGGCCGACTGAGCGGCGTGAGGGTGGTGCTGTCGCGAAAGAAGGAGCGAGAAGCACCTGAGTCAAGTGTGAAGGTGTGCAAGGCCTCAGCAGGCGCAGTACCAGAGAGAGCAGACTCACCAGCACCTGGAGCAGTAGACTCACTAGCACCTAGAGCAGCAGCCTCACCAGCACCTAGAGCAGGAGACGCACTAGCACCTAGAGCAGCAGCCTCACCAGCACCTAGAGCAGCAGACTCTATACCTAGGTCAGGCGGTACGCACAGGTAACAGGCACCCTCAGCACTAGTAGGCAATGCATACATGGCAGTGAGGATAGCATCATTGTCAAGAGCAAAGATATCTACCTTCTGCCTAAGCAGCTCCAGCCAGGTGGGGAGCTCAGCCTCATCGCCAAACTCGGTACGCCAGGCGTCGCTCAGACGGGCGAAGCAGCGGGACTGCGTGTGACCAACCGTCCCGCAAGCCTGACCAGCCCGAGCACCTGTGCGAATGACGTACGGGCAGCGAACGGTACTCTGAGACCCTCTACTCTGAGCGTACCACTCACGAAGCTGCTGGGGCGTAAGTGTCTCGCGCGGACGCCGCTGCAGCTGCATCTGGCCACTGCCAGACGCTCCCGACTGACCAGCTCCAGGGCGACAGCCACGACGGCCACCGCCAGAACCCCAACTGGCGTACCACTCACGAAGCTGCTGGGGCGTGAGAGACTCGCGCGGACGTCGCTGGAGCTGCATCTGGCCACCGCCAGTAGCAGTAGGAGCAGCAGTAGCAGCAGTAGCAGCAATAACAGTAGTAGCAGCAGTAGCAGCAGTAGCAGCAGTAACAGGAGTAGCAGCAGTAGCAGCAGTAACAGCAGTAGCAGCAGTAGCAGCAGTAGCAGCAGTAGCAGCAGTAGCAGCGTGGGCAGGGCAGTAGCGGCTCGGCTGGCAGGCAGGCGCGGCAGACAGGCAAGCAGGCTGGCGCGGCTTCGCGCTAGTAAGGCAGGCACGCGGGTAGGGCAGGTGCTCACCAGGGGCGGGTAGGGCAGGTGCCACCGGTGGCGGGAAGGGCAGGCGTTGCAACAGCGGCAGGGCAAGGCCACGACAGCTGGTGCAGGGCAGGGCCACGACAGCTGCTGCAGGGCGGGGCCGCGACAGCGTCAGGGGGCTCCGCGGCAGCTGCTGCAGGGCGGGGCCGCGACTGCGGCAGGGGGCTCCGCGGCAGCTGCTGCAGGGCGGGGCCGCGACGACGGCAGGAGGGGCTCCGCGGCAGCTGCTGCAGGGCGAGGCTGCGACTGCGGCAGGGGGCTCCACGACAGCTGCTGTAGGGTGGAGGCAGCGCGCGCTGGAAAAGCGGGCCGCACAAGGGCGGCTGAGGCTGCGCGCGGACGCGGCGCACGAGGCAGCTGCGGGCAGCGCGGGCGGCGGACGCGGCGCGCGGGGCAGCTGGGCGCTGCGCGAGCGGCGAACGCGGCGCGCGGGGCAGCCGCGGGCTGCGCGGACGGCTGACGCAGCGCGCGGGGCAGCTGCGAGCTGCGTGAGGGCGGCAGCCGCGGCGCGCTGGGCAGCAACAGGCTGCGCGGGCTGCGGACGCGGCGCGCGGGGCCGCAGCGGGCTGCACGAGCGGCGGACGCGGCGCGCGGGGCAGCAACGGGCTGCGTGCGCGGCGGACGCGGCGCGCGGGGCAGCAGCGGGCTGCGCGAGGGCGGCGGACGCGACGCGCGGGGCAGCAGCGGGCTGCTCAGGTGGCGGACGCGACGCGCGGGGCAGCAGCGAGCTGCGCACAGGATTAGGGTTTGCTCGCGCATGCAGCGCAGCGCAGGCAAGGCAAGGCAAGGTGCGCGCGGGCAGCGCAGCGCAGGCTAGGCAGGGCGCGCGCAAGGTGGCGCAGCGCAGGCACGTGGGGCAGCTCAGTAACCGCAACGGTACTGTATCACCCCGGATATAAGCGCACCTGCGCTTTTAATAAAACGTGTTTTTTTAGGGGGGTGCGCTTATAATTGAGTAAAAAATATAAGCGCATGCGATTATATAATGACAATTACAGAAATATATTTTACACGTACCAAATTGTACATCTCAGTCTTGCGATCTCAATCGAAACGCATTGTGAGAGAGTCCGAAGTCAGAATCGCGCGAGGGCGATTCTCTGCTGGCGAAAAGAGCCTTGGCACGTCACTTTGCAGGCGTGCCAGCTCATCCTGACTGGACTCGAAGCCTGTGAGACCCTCGCGAGAGTCAAACAATGTAAAAATGGATGTGACTCGCTGCAAAACTGAATTTCGTTACTGTGTTTATCAGGATTTAGAAATAAATTTATACATGCGCTTATAATATGTCATGGTTTTACCGGGGGTGCGCTTATAAATGAGGATCGGTCATAAGCGCATTGCTCCAGATACAAGCGCATGCGCTTATAATAGGCCTGCGCTTATATCCAGGGCCATACGGTAGGTGGGCCCGAAAAAAAAAAAAAAAAAAAAAAAAAAAAAAAAAAACGATCCTACGGACCTACTGCTCTGATACCATGTCGGAAATAGTAGGCAGGAATGAATGAACTAGAACAGAGTTGGGTACAAATATGAAACCCTAATGGGGCTATACCCCATGTTGGCTACCCCACTACAGCCTAGACATATATAGTATATATATCATTTGACACCACATTGTACATCATCCCTCCACGCTTTGTGCCTCACTGCAATGGCTGGTAATGAACATCTTTGGCAGGTCCCCGCTTGCCCCCGCATGTGCCCAACTCCTTTTTGTTAATTGATATTGCATATCTTATAACTGCCTATAGCTTGCTAGTGTATTAGTTTAGCTATTAGCATCAACTGCTGGTGGTGTACCCTTTTCTTCTCCCTTCCTCTTTCCTATATCTTGTATGATTTGCCTTTATTGAAACCCCTTCTTTGGCCAAAACATCTCCTATCCCGTAACTCTCGCTATGCCTAGGGTTCCTACTCTCCTAGCCTATGATACTATCTCAACATGGCATTAGAGCAGGTTCTTTCCCAGGACCTAAGAATTATGGGCCCACCAGTCGCGCAGCCCGTTAGCACGCCGCGTGCTGGCTGCCCCGTCCCACAATGCTCGCCCCGTCGCGCTCTGCCCGTGGCGAGCATGCCAGCGAGCCGACGGCGAGCGCCAGCGCCAGCGCCAACGACGGGCGCCAGTGCCAGCGCCAACGGCGGGCGCCAGTGCCAGCGCCAACGACGGGCGCCAGTGCCAGCGCCAACGGCGGGCGCCAGCGCCACCGGCGGGCGCCAGCGCCAGCGCCAACGGCGGGCGCCAGCGCCAGCGCCAACGGCGGACGCCAGCGCCTGCGCCGACGCCAGCGCCTAGCGCCAACGGCGGTCGCCAGCGCCGACGGCGGGCGCCAGCGCCAGCGCCAACGGCGGGCGCCAGCGCCAGCGCGACGCCAACGCCCAACGCCAGCACTTCCGCCAGCGCCTGCGCATGGGGGGGAGGGGGATGAGGGGGTGGCGGGAGAGCTTCTGCCGCGCCAGCCACCTCCTCTCCTCTCCTCTCCTCTCCTCTCCTCTCCTCTCCTCTCCTCTCCTCCTATCCTCTCCTCTTCTCCTCTCCTCTCCTCTTCTCCTCTCCTCTCCTCTCTCCTCTCCTCCAGCCGCCTCCTCCTCCGCTTGTTTGCTCCTCCAGCCGCTTCTCCTCGGCTCTCCGCCTGTGCGCCACCAGCTTCCTCCTCCTATCCAACGGTTGGTGTTAATCACCAGCATCCTACGCCCTCCGGTTATCCCAGCCCTCCTCCGCGCCCTCCTCCGTTATGGCGTTCACAGGTGCTACCGGTCAGCAACCGTTGTTTCTGTGCATATCCCAGCTACAAGCAACCGCTCTCCAGGCGACCTGGTGCCAGACACCACTAGCTATAGCCATAGGCAGTTACGGGGGTGTGTTAATTGATATTGCATATCTTATAACTGCCTATAGCTTGCTAGTGTATTAGTTTAGCTATTAGCATCAACTGCTGGTGGTGTACCCTTTTCTTCTCCCTTCCTCTTTCCTATATCTTGTATGATTTGCCTTTATTGAAACCCCTTCTTTGGCCAAAACATCTCCTATCCCGTAACTCTCGCTATGCCTAGGGTTCCTACTCTCCTAGCCTATGATACTATCTCAACACTTTTCTCCCTTAGTCCCAGCAGCCAGGTAATTCATACTCTTGCACTTTCCTCCCTTTCTCCCCATACTCCCTAACCCAATCTCCGCCTCCCCACCGCTTCCATTGCGCTACAGCCTCAGCTCCCTCCATTGCTTGCCCATGCTCGTGCCTCTTAACAGCCTCCCTACCTACCATTTGCCCTTAAACTCCAGTATACATTTGTCAGCGAGGTTTAGGGTTTGTATAGTGCGCCTCACAGTCTTGGGACAACTTTTCAAGTTCCTAAGGATTTTGAACCCTAACAAGCCCTATTTGGCAGGCACAAGGTAAACATTGTCACTCTCACAATAGTAAGCAGGGGCCTCTTAACACTGGACAGGCTCTCATGAGAGGCTAGGCGCCTTTCAAGGCAGTGTGCTTCGCCTCTTCTCAGCCTTCATCTTCCTTGCCCTCCGTTCCTTCTTTCCCGCCCTTTCTGCACTGTCTGCCTGGCATGCCTTTTGTCACCCCTCCCTCATTGCGGCCCCCTAATCAGCAAGGCCAGGATCACCACTCCCTTCATCGTTTCCCTCTGGCGCGCACGACTCTCCACCACGGCATCATCACTTGTGCTACACTTCTGAAATATAAACGCAGTCATTTTTCTTCCAGCTGTTGAAGGCTATTGAGACCTGATGGTGCTGGTATTATGTTACAAGCATAAACATAATTAATTATGATTTGAATCACACTGATTTGATCTCCGCTGCACCACACAATACCTTATGCAGTCCCAGCATGTCAAAGTATATGCATGTTATATATGTATAGGCTGTAGTGGGGTAGCCAATATGGGGTACAGCCCCTTTTAGGGTTTCATACTTGTACCCAACTCTTCCATAGTTGATTCATTCCTGTCTCTAGATTCTAACATGGTTTCAGAGCAGTAGATCCGTAGGACCGTCTTTTTTTTTCGGGCCCACCTACCGCTACCCCACGACTGTGACTGTGACTGTGCCTGTGACGTGCTGCGCTGCGCGCGCCGTCTGCCTGCTGCCTGCTGTCTGCTGACTGTGCGGTCTGCTACTGCTTAGAGCGCGCAAACCTGATTCTTGCGCGCGGCCCGGTTTTTGCCCCGCGCGTCGCCCAAGCTGCCCGAGTCGCGCCTCGGCAGCCCGCGCGTGGCTCGGTGCTGCTCCGCGCGCCACGTCCGCAGCCCGCGCTGCTTGCTGCAGCCCCGCGCGTCGCGTCCGCTGCCCGCGCATCACGCTGCAGCCCAGCGCGTCGCGTCCGCTGCCCGTGCGTCGCGCTGCAGCCCCGCGCGCCGCGGCTGTCGTCCTCGCGCGGCCCGCTGCGGCTTCGCGCGCCGCGCTCGCAGCTCGCGTAGCCCGCTGCAGCCCCGCGCGCCGCGGCTGCCCCTGTTCGTCGCGGCGCCCCCCCCCCCTGGACGTCGCCCCGGCCTGTCGAGACGCCCCCCCCTGGACGCCGCCCCTGCCTGACTGCCACCGTCGCTCCTGCAGCAACTGCCGCGGAGCGCCCTGCCACGGTCGCGGCCCCGCCCTGCAGCAGTCCTCGCGGCCCCGCCCTGCAGCGGTCACGGCCCCGCCCTGCAGTAGCTGTCGCGGACCTGCTCTACCGCCGACGCGGCCCTGCTCTGCCGCAGCTGTCGCGGCCCCGCCGTCGCCGCCGTCGTGCGCCTACCCGGCCGCCGCCCGCCGAGCGCCGGCCCTGCTCGCCTGGCGAGTGCCTGCCCTTCCCGCCACTGGTGAGCACCTACCTTGTTCGCGTGCTGCCGCGCCTGCCCTGCCTGCCTGCCGCACCTGCCTGCCGCACCTGCCTGCCGCACCTGCCCTGCCCGCGCTGCTACTGCTGCTACTGCTGCTACTTCTGTTACTGCTGCTCGGCTGCTGCTGCTGCTACTTCTGCTACTGCTGCTACTGGCGGTGGCCAGATGCAGCTCCAGCGACGTCCACGCGAGTCTCTCACGCCCCAGCAGCTTCGTGAGTGGTACGCTAGTTGGGGTTGTGGCTGTAGCCGTCGTAGCTGTCACCCTGGAGCTGGTCAGTTGGGAGCGTCTGACAGTGGCCAGCTGCAGCTGCAGCGGCGTCCATGCGAGACACTTATGTCCCAGCAGCTTCACGAGTGGTACGCTAAGAGTAGAGGGTCTCGGAGTACCGTTCGCTGCCCGTATGTCATTCGCACAGGTGATCGGGCTGGTCAGGCTTGCGGGACGCTTGGTCACACACAGTCAAGCTGCTTCGCCCGTCTGAGCGACGCCTGGCGTACCGAGTTTGGCGACGAGGCTGAGCTCCCCACCTGGCTGGAGCTGCTTAGGCAGAAGGTAGATATCTTTGCTCTTGACTATGATGCTATTCTCACTGCCATGTATGCATTGCCTACTAGTGTTGACGGTGCCTGTTACCTGTGCGTACCGCCTGACCCTGGTATAGAGCCTGCTGCTCTAGGTACTGGTGAGGCTGCTGCTCTGGGTGCTAGTGCGTCTCCTGCTCTAGGTATTGGTGAGGCTGCTGCTCTAGGTGCTAGTGCGTCTCCTGCTCTAGGTGCTGGTGAGGCTGCTGCTCCAGGTACTGGTGAGTCTGCTCTCTCTAGTACTGCGCCTACTGAGGCCTTGTACACCTTCACACTTGACTCAGGTGCTTCCCGCTCCTTCTTTCACGACAGCACCACCCTCACGCCGCTCAGTCGGCCGATTGCAGTCTCCCTGGCAGACCCCTCTGGGGGTCCAGTCCTTGCGCACTCCTCCACGGTCCTGCCGTGTCCGACGGTCCCGTCTGGCTCCCTGTCAGGTCTTCACCTCCCCTCGTTCTCTACGAACTTGGTGAGTGGTGCTGACCTCCAGGACCAGTGGGTTGACTAGTTCACTCCTGGAGGTCAGCGCGTGACCCACTGTACGTGCTCCCGGACGGGCCGGCACCTGGCCACGTGTACCGGTGCGCCTGGCTCGAGTCTGTACACACTGACTACTGTGTCCCCTCAGGTCGCTGCGTCTGCGTCTGCGTCAGGTCAGCTAGCGGACCCCTGCTCGTGTCGCGCTTTGTCGCACCAGACCCTCCTTTGGCACCACCGTCTTGGTCACCCCTCGGTGCAGCGCCTTCGTAGCATGCACCGCCGTGTCCTTGTCTCTGGTCTTCCCAGGGTTCTCCCTCCCCTCCCTCCCTCGCCTGCTCCTCCCTGTCTTCCCTGTGTCGAGGGGCGGCAGCGTGCCGCTCCTCACTCCTCCTCGTTTCCCCCGACGACTGCTCCCCTGCAGACCCTGCACATGGACGTGTGGGGCCCAGCCCGCGTCAGTGGGCAGGACCGCGAGCGGTACTTCCTGCTGGTTGTTGACGACTACTCGCGTTACACCACGGTCTTCCCCTTGCGCACCAAGGGTGAGGTCCCTGATGTTTTGATCCCTTGGATCCGCGCTGCCCGTCTCCAGCTCCGCGAACGGTTCGGGACGGAGTTTCCCGTCCTGCATCTGCACTCTGACAGAGGTGGGGAGTTTTCCTCCGACCTCCTGCAGAGCTTTTGTCGTGGGGAGGGCATTCGCCAGACGTTCACGCTTCCGGCCTCTCCGCAGCAGAATGAGGTTGCTGAGCGCCGCATTGGCTTGGTCATGGAGGTCGCTCGTACCTCCATGGTCCATGCGGCTGCCCCCCATTTTCTGTGGCCGTTTGCGGTCCGCTACGCCGCGCATCAGCTCAACCTCTGGCCCCGTGTCTCCTTGCCGGAGACCTCGCCCACACTGCGGTGGACGGGGGAGGTTGGCGATGCGTCGGTGTTCCGGGTCTGGGGTTCTCGTGCCTTTGTCCGTGATACCACCGCGGACAAGCTCTTCGCCCGCGCTGTTCCCTGTGTCTTCCTTGGTTTTGTCCCTGACGCGCCTGGTTGGTAGTTTTACCACCCCACCTGGCGCCGTGTCTTCCCCTCTCAGGACGTCACGTTCGACAAGTCGGTTCCCTTTTACCGTCTCTTCCCCTACCGCACTGCCCCTCTCCCCCCCCCGCCGCTCTTCCTCGCTCCAGGTCCTCCCCAGGCAGACCCCCTCCCGCTCCCGGTCCTGTTCCTTCAGGTGTGTCTCAGGTAGACCCTCCTCTTGTGTCTGAGCCGGTTGAGGTCACTGGTGACTCAGGTCTTGCTGGGGGTGGTCCTGCTCGGGGTGCTGCTTCTAGGGGTGCTGAGCATGGGGGTGCGGAGCCTGGGGGTGCTGGTCCTGGGGTTGCAGAGCTTGGAGGTGCTGAGCCTGCGCGTGAGGAGTCTGGGGGTGCTGAGTCTGGGGGTGCTGCACCTGGGGGCGCTGCGGCGTCTGGTGAGCAGTCTCCCTGGAGCTGCCGTCTCCGTAGTCGCTCTGCTGGTGCCTCGCCGCTGCACTCTCGTCGTCGTCTCCCTCTCTCCCCACAAGAGCTACGTAAGTGGTACGTTGGCCGTCAAGGTCGAGCTGCTGGAGCTGGGGGCCCTGCTGCGGGAGGCGCTTGTGTTGGAGGCACTGGAGCCGGCACTGTCCCTCTCTCCCCACAGCAGTTGCGTGAGTGGTACGTTAGCCGTCAGGGTCGCGCTGCTGGAGCTAGGGGCCCTGCTGCGGGAGGCGCTGGAGCTGGTGACTCTGCTACTGGAGTTGTTTCTACTGGAGTTCCTGGGGCAGCTGGTCCCGGAGGTGCTCGTACTGGAGGTACTGGAGCTGCTGGGGCTGGAGGTCCTGCTGGACCTGGAGGTGCTGCTGTTGACTCTGAGGTTGGAGGCCCTGGAGCTGGGGGTGCCGGTTCTGAGGGTGCTACTGCTGGTGGCGCTGGAGCTGGAGGTTCTGGAGCTGCTGCGGGTGCTGGTGCTGGAGGTTTTGGCGCTGTTGGAGGTGCTGGCGCTGGTGACGCTGGAGCTGGAGGTTCTGGAGCTGCTGCGAGTGCTGGCGCTGGAGGTTCTAGAGCTGTTGGAGGTGCTGGCGTTGGTGGCGCTGGAGCTGGAGGTTCTAGAGCTGCTGCGGGTGCTGGCGCTGGAGGTTCTGGAGCTGTTAGAGGTGCTGGCGCTGGTGGCGCCGGAGCTGGAGGTTCTGGAGCTGCAGCAGGTGCTGGCGTTGGAGGTTCTGGAGTTGTTGGAGGTGCTGGCGCTGGTGGCGCCGGAGCTGGAGGTTCTGAAGCTGCTGCGGGTGCTGGCGCTGGAGGTTCTGGAGATGAAGGAGGTGCTGGAGCTACTGGTGCTGGTGGCGCTGCGCCGCCGCG